AGCACACAGCTGCCATCCCAAAACCAGACCTCCCATCTGCCACCCACGATTTGCATGTCACCTTCTCCAGGCTCATTTGTACTTCATTAACTGCCATTGACTTAACAAGATTTATGCAAATGACACCATAGGAGCTCGCTAACTCCCACTGCAATCAAGTGATTATGTATGTACAATTCTCCACAGCAATGAAAAATTAATACATGACAAGCCCACTCACCGCTGAGCTGAGCTTTTTGCTTTTATTTTTCTTGTTGTGCTTTTTTTTTTATTTGAATATGCCCTACTGATAAAGATTTAGCAAGACCACAGAAAACAAAGTAATCTTCGCAAAATGCTACAAAAAAGCCCCATTCTAGAAAGTCTGTCACCCTAAACCAGACAGCCCAATACGTGCTTCAAAATATTCACTCAGGCTACCAGGAACACGCCTTCGTTTTCAGAATAAGTGTTTCTGAACAGAGGATACTCCAAACAGAGCAAGCCATTCACCTGAAGTTTGCTTTAAGGGTAGCATTAGCAACGCTACAGAAGACAGCCTAAATATTTTTAGTTAAAGCACCTCTTTCTCAGAAGTACAGAACTTTCTATGGATTTTAACTTTGGACAAATACTGTTCCAGACATTTTCCGACTCCATTTGATTAGTAGAAGATATTTAAATAGCACACAAGTGAGACTTTTTTTTTTTATGGAAAATTATGGCATTTGTGGTTCTCAGAGGATGCTAAGAGCAGAGAATTTAAGGCATGCTGACACCGCTACGCATGCAGGAGGTGTTTGTCCCTCCCCAGGAAACTGTCCTTCCATTATTTTCACTCACCTTAGAGTATTTTTGCAGAAGTTAGCAGCCACAGCCTGCTTTTCATTGCCTACATTTTGGGTTTCTGCTGGGAGCAAGAAGGTTTATCAGAACAGTTTTATATGGCCTAGCCCAATAAAACCGTGTTTAACACTGCAATGAAACATGATTTTTAACATTTAGAAAGGACAGAAATAATAAGAACATTAACTCTTTTCTGCCAGATTGCTTTGAGTTAAGGATAAAACCCTGAAGGAGTGAAGTGCCTCCTTGGAAGGAAATATGCCATTTACTATTTTATCTATTTCCCCCAAACTCTCAGGGACTCGGGGACCGAGAACAGGAATCCAGAAGCAGGCTGCAACTCGTGGCTTCTTTTGACCAAAAACCACACCAAACTCCAGTAGCTGTGCGGGTCGGTATGCGGGTCCCAGAAGGGCTGGGACACAGAATCATAAGCAACTCTCCATGCCAGCACAGCTCACTTCACAAGAGGTGTACGTGCATTTAGAGAGAAACCAGGGCAGAAATGAAATGCCCCTAACAAAAACCCCACTCCTCGACCAGTTTAAACTGTCTCCAAATATACAAAAGCATCACTTCAACGACAGACATCAACTGTGGCTAAGCTGGTTCAACAGCTGCAATACAGACCTGATCTATGGAAAAAATTGTAACCGAGATGACTGACAAACTCCTCGCCATCACATTTTCTGTGCTTCCTAGTGAGCTGATTTTTTCACACATTTATTCTGTGCTCTCCCCACCACATACAAACATACTTTACTAATGTCAGCTCTTCCTCCCCCCTTTCACATGCACCTCCAGTGCTGGAAGAGATTTCATTTTTTCTCAAAACCAGAACATCTCTAATCTCCAATTAACTTGTTTTGTTTTTTTTTTTTGTTTTAAGTTGGGAAACAGTATTTCTGATTTTTGGGAGACCCTGGGTAGATAAGACCCACGGTTGGGTCTTACCCACAGGCACCACAAAACACACTGGGTAACCAAGCCATCGATTTCAACATCTGAGTAGTAAGACTTTTCTTTTTTCTATTTGGTTTTTTGTAATTACCTTCTTTCAAGTAGCAGTGAACTGAGAATACAAAATCCACTGTATTTGCATTTCAACAATAACTTAGTCGTCCTTTAAAAATAAAATCTGCAAATAAGCTCAACCAACACAACTGAAGCACTGATCTGCAAGTACAAGCTTGGACTTCAGCCTTGCACCAGAAGCACAGCCTTGCCAGCAGCCCTTATAAAGTATTGCTGCCATGCACGCAGAGTAAGCACCCACAGAGAATAAAGCAAAGTCCTGACAACAGATATTAAAAAGGCCTGGTCACTACATGCTTTTGAAGATGTCCCAAAGACATGATAGAAGAGGACATGCATGAAGCTGGCAAAGGTGTTTTGCTCAACAGCAGCTTTGAGCTGTCAGAGGACATTTACCAGAACCGGGGGTTACTCCCGATTCTACCATGGGGTAGTGCAGCAGTGTGGCTTACACGCTAATAGGAGGACAAACAATGGACAACACGATAACAAAAAGATTACAGAGAAGCCTTTTAATGACATAAGACGACAGCTCTCCCACAGCAATATTGTGAATACTACAATCTGCATTCAACTACCTGAAAATACACTTCTCTTTCTATTCCCTGACCATTTGTCACAAAAACGTATCATGATGGAATGGCTATCTCATTGTAAGCAGCACAGTAGCATGACATACTGCCATTTTTAGGTCAAAAAGTTCCTTTTCACACCCCTCTGCCTTATTCACAGTTAATGCACAAAATAAGAGACACACCATCCTTTCTAATAGGAATTTCTACTGCCTCAGAGAAACATCCGAATATCCGGCACCTGTAGAGCCCATCACGAGCACAGTCCTGTCAGCAATTTCACTCGGTGCCACCTCTACTGATAGGAGCTCTCTATCTAAACAGAGCGTAGGCAAAAAGCTATCCCCTGGTCAAACTTCAGGAGCCGTTTCTGCTTGACATCGTGTAGTTTGTAATCAAAGACCACTTCAGACTAATGTATGTTTTTAAACTGTAATGAAACATTCTCAGTATGAGTACGTATTGTGTTTCAATTTTTACTTAAATGTTTCCACACCAAAAAAGTACTTTTTTGTGCTCCATCTTCTTTTGCTTCAAGGGCTAGGTGATGCTGGTCTCCTATGCTTCACTGAAGACCATCTATAAAGTAGAAAACCAACAAACTCCAAAATCCACTCTCTTGACACACAAAAAAGCATGATGTGAAACACCACTGACAGCAGCCATTCTACAACACTGCGTGCCATTCAACCTCCCCTTCCAGTATCCTTCCCAAACCCTGGTGAACAGGATGTATCTGCTGACTACAGACCTGCTCAAAGGTTGGCTGAGAATTGCTTGCACGTGTCAAAATGAAATTACCGTAACTGGGATTAATAACAAAAAGTACAGATTCCCAAAAGATTAGTCATGCTCAGTATACAAGTAGGGGTTCCAGGGAGAATTTTTCAGTGCAGAAATTGAAGACATTGTAGGGGATATTTCACTACAATATGGTATAGTGTAATCACACTTAAAATGCTTATTTTACAATACTCTTCCTACAAGTATGTTTTTAACCAAATTATCTTCATACTATAGCATTTCAGAAAAGAACAGTACATATGCCTTGGATAAATATTGAAAGTATATTCCTCAGTTTTTCATTCTCAGCTGCATTCGCAGACACTTTTGTTTAATTAGCATTACCCAAAAGAATTCCAGTCGGTCTAACCCATCTCGTACCATACAAAAGCGGCAGAAAAAAATCCCCTGGCTTGTTTTAAATGCCTGGAATCTCCTCCTCTGAACACTGAGCCAAATACTGAGCTTATCTGGTTTCAAACTGCTCTTCTGAATTGCAGTGTGTTTGATTAAAATTTGTCTACTAGAGATCCACAGACACGACAGCACTTTTGCTGCCTGACGGTCCCAAAAGGTCTTTTTAACTGCCTTTAAGAAAGAAAATCACTGCAAACATTTCAGGGTACAAAACCACCTCCCCCTCACCCCCTAAAAGAAAAAAAAAACCCAAAACCACATAAACCCACCCCCAAACAGGAGACCTAGCGCTACCTGGCAAGATGAAGCATGGACTGGAGAAAAAAGAGAAGGGGGAAGAGACCCTCTGGAGGGTAGGAAAGCCACGAAAAGAAACTGTAAACAACTGTAATGGGAAGAAAACGAGCCCCCTTCCCTCAGCACTTTTGCTATCTCCAGCAAATAACTCACATGAAGGTAAATGTACTCGCAAGCACTACCACAGAAACTATTTGTAAAGCATCCCGTACAAATGCTTAGAGTGGTGTTCTTACCCGTGTGAATTCGGCGTAATTTCATTTGAGAAAGCAAATGATCTCATTCACCCAAATGCTTTGCATCAGATGCTGGCATTGCTTTTGCCTTTCAGAGGAGTGTTCGCAGCTACTATTTAGCATTGAGTTTCCGGGCTAATGAAAGTGCATCTAGGCTAGTAAAACAGACCAAAACAAATCCTTGAATTCAAGTCCTGTTGTGTAATGAGGAAGTTTAATTAAGGCCACACATTACAGCTGTAAATGTTCTCTTATATAATAAGGTCTAAATGAAACTGAACCTAATCAAAGTTACAATTCCTTCATTAGCAAATTACAAACAAGAGCGCACAGCTGACACACCGGCTATGATTATCACAACTAATTGCCTCGTTGTTACAAACCAGCCTGAAACTGTGTTCAGATGTCCGTCTGCAGTAGCAAATTAGGGCCACATCAGGCTATTTCTGCGATCACAAGGGGCTCTTGTAGAGCGATCTGATTTACCCCGCCGACTGGCAGCACACGGCCCAATCAAAGCCCCTCTACAAAGGCAGCTTTGAAGCCAGCACAGCCTAGAAACCCGCTCCATATGCAGGCCGGCAGACTGCACTTCATTAGGCCTGTTGTCACATTTTCCCTCTTCTTATTCTAATGATCCTATTTTAATACACATAGGAACCTCTCCTAATTGATGTCAAGTGAGTGACTTCCACATTCATCACTGGAGCACATCAAACGCGTCTTGGCCCACGGGCCTGCCATCAGAGTGCTTGAGACCCGAGGTGTGTCTCCAACTACGGAAAGCAGGGAAAAAAAAAAAAGTATTTTGGCATTACCTGTTTAATTGGGATTGCGCGACCGCTTCCAATGCTATCTGTTCTGCTCTCCAGGACCTTCTTCTCTTTGTCTGGGTCACTCCCTTTCCGAGACTGCAGAGCAAAAAGAAAGTTTGTGCTCCATTAGATGTGGCGGTTCACACAGAGGATGCTTTTTTTTTTTTCCTTTTTTAAAGCAATTAAAGACAAAGTATTTTGACACACAAATATAGACTCAAAGGCTGCAAGTTAAAATCTACAGAAGTACACAACTGTCCCAAAATCTGAATACTAAAATAGCATCTCTAATTTTCAACCATCCACTTGTTTGAAATGGCATTTTGGTTTAAAGAGTTACAGTTTCACTGCCTCAAGACCCAGCAGATCAGAGGACACGTTTCTGAAGTCTCCAATAGCAGCTCCAACGAGGAATGAAGGTTCCAGCTTCTCATTAAAAGAGTCTGATATGTACATGCATACATTCAACTTACACCTGTGTGTTTTTTTGAAATGTTATCAACTACTTAGAAATGCAATTTTATGATGCTGGTTTTGATCACACTTTTTTTTTCTACTTTTGGATAGCTAGAAAATTGGAATTGCAAGAAAAGGTAGTGACTGCTGCTGAAAAAAGTTATGTGAACACAATGAAGAAAAATCAGCATGAGGAAAATTTAACCAATGTTTAAAACCGGAATTGCCTGATCTTGGCTTTCTATAACACTAGACCCGAGTAAGCTCACAGTGCTCAATTCATGACTCTATACAGTTCTGTAGGAATTTTAAGAAGTTATTCAGATTCCAGTCCATTATTGTGAAAGAACGCACGAGCATAATGATCGTGACAGATTTATTTTATTACAAAAAGAGGACCTGAGAGTCATCCTCCTTAATAACTGAACTGACAAGTGACAACTTCACTCCATTACTTTTCAATAGGAACATTACTCACACAGTATCGAAAATGGGAAAACATTTTCATGTGCTTTTCAAATACGAGATGATATATGAAAAGAATACATTTGTGATGTCCAGTACCACAATGAGAAGTTAATGAAAACCAGACTGACACAAGATCCTGCTTTTCGTTTTCAGCGGAAAGAGACATTTGAAAGACACTGAAATTAGGAGAACAATTAGGATCACAGATAGCTAATACCCATTTTCCATATTATACGAAGGGGTGGAAAGAAGGAAAAAAAAAAAAAAATCCCCAACGCAGTCGCCTTCGGGCAGGAGAGGAGGGAAGGGGAGGGAGGAAACCCACAGAGGAGGACTTCAAGTAACAGCATTCTAAGCAACACATTTACCCAGCAGGGATCCCGTGCTGCTTTCCCCGCTCCGCCAGGAACGGGCTCCTATCACTAGTTACTATGGTTCGGGGCAATGGAATGACGTGCCGGGGAATTAAACAAAGAATAAATGAAAGAAAGCAAAACAAGTGGGAGGGATGAAATCCAATGTTCAGGATAACTATTGTTCCTTGTCCTTCAAGACAGATTTCTGAATCTGAAAGTGCCACTTCCCAATAATACAAGGCAAAACAATGCTTCAATGGTGCAAAGCGCTCGTAAGTGACATTTTAAAGAAACTCAGTGAAGGTAGCCAAATCCTTGGGAGGGAAGTTGTCAGCTTGAATGTTTCTTTTTTATTTGACTTTTTTAAAGAAAGGATCCTGCTTCTGAAAAGCAAGCTAAATATCTATGTATTATTTTTCATTTTTATTTTTAAATCATCACATCTTTCATTCCATAAAAGTAACTGCATCCGGAAAAAATACAGTGCACATAGAAGGGAAATATCTATATACAAACTATCTTCCAATGCCAGAAATATTGAAACATAGGAATTTCTGTTGGGCAAATTCTATTCTAGCTGCTTTTAATAACAGAATACATAAAATTTTCAAGGGGAGAATCTTAGCAGGCTCTGCTATTTATAAAGACAAGCTGTGCAGTGAAACAGAAAGATATTCTGATCTTTTATGCCTTTGTATCTATCTATAACACACACAATACATCTTACATTCTATAATACAAAAAAATAGACTCCAAACCATACTGGATCAACATCTGCTACGACTTTTTCTGTCATATTTACACATTAAATACTTCTATTTAAAATTTCACCCAAGCACACCAGAGAAAGTCCAAAGAAATTAAAAAACCTGCATGAATATCATTTGACTCATTTCCCCTTTGCATCGGAAGTCGCATGCAGACTTACAGCAACACAAAACCTTAGCCAAGTTAGGTCTGTGCAGTGAGATTATTCCAGTCCCTGAGGGACACAGCACCTGAATTTGGGCACAACCAGAATCCTGTACCAGCAGTCCACAGAGCCCCAAAGGTAAGAATACTCATCTCTAACAGTTAATACTGAGACAGAGAGTTCATTTTAACTTTTAGAAGTCACGCTTGTGATTTTGTAAAAATGTAAGATAGGTAACATTGAATATGGGAAAGGAGATGCAGCTTACTGTACCAGAGGTTCATTCACCCCACGTGGGTTTGGACACGTAGTTACTATCAGTTCTTTGCTGAAGTGGACCTCTTAACTCCCCACCTGCACGATACACTATTATTTAGTTGTTTCTGTTAATACAGCACACAAAACAAAGGACGTTTACCCGTCTGCTAATATTTGATCTATTTTATCACCTAACTAGAGTGTCAGCTATTGCAACAACAGCTATACAGCAAATAGTAATGTTCAAAGTCAAAAAGATCAGATACTGCATTTTATGCACGTAAACATGAACATGCTTAAAATTTGCAACCCTGTTCCAATTCAAAAGTTGTAACAGACTTAAGGAAAATCACACCAAATTTTCTTTCAACACTGAAAGATCTTCATGTAGGAAAACATATTACCTACGCTAGATAACAATTAAACAGAAATATAAGTGATAAAGGCATAAGCAAGTAAGAATCTAGGAAAAGCAGCACAGCAAAAAACCCCAGTGCTAAACAATAAGATACTTTGATTATACACTCTGTTCTTAAGTAGACAGAAAATACTGGTCATCTATTTATTGAATTAAATTATTCCAAGTTGCAACTTGGCTGATATGGCATGAAACCTGGGTTACAGCAGGGCCAGCATTAAATACTTCAGGACATGGATTACAGGGCAACTCGTTACACAACATTCAATAAGCCCGGATCTTAAAAGGCAGAACTAATTCTAAAAGTCAAATTGTTTTTTATGTTTCCATAGGACTTTACCCCCGAATTTTCTCTCCAGTTAGTAGGCATTAAGACAGCTATCAACATCCTCTCATATTAGCAAACACGGTTCTTAATACGCTATTCTCGCGATCCAGAGCTTTAGTCTATTTGTTTCCAACAAACGAAGCTGACTTATTGTTCTTCTCAAATCTTTCCCATGATTACAGATGGGGGTGTGCTTCTTTTCATTCACTTCCTCAAATAGCTACCTACTCCAGTTCAAAACATCCCCAGTTTCCCAAACGCCGACAACATCTACGCAGCCCGTACGGCGTTTTCTGCACCCTTCAGACCAGCCCTGGTCGGCGAGCGCTTCGAGGGATGCTGTAGCGTCTCCGCTCCATTTCCAGAGGCATCGCTCTGCTGGCAGTTGCTGGGCTGACACTGACACCTAGTGGGGTTGGTAACTCCCGAGTACGCCCCAACAGCAGCGAGTATTCCCACCGACTGGAGGAAATCCACACGATTGCCATAAAACATCAGTGTCCACCGCGGACACGTTTTCACCTACCACTCATTTTTGCACGTTTTGTTGTTTCGCACCCAAACCTTTGCACCTGAACACAAATGCATGGTCTTCATCCCTTTGCAGGAGTTCGAAGACCTGCAGTTTTTAAATCAAAATATCACCATCGAGATGGGCACATGAAATATGATCCTTGGGACTCTGCGCTGTCACTCAGTGCTCCACAAGGATGACAAAACTTTCTACTTGCTAAAGGCCAAGAGGTCAGATTTTGTTTAGGATATGAGGAAACTGTTTCATCCTTTTTCTACGTGGTTCCCTGGATACGACCAAGGAGCAAGCTAGTTTTGGGAAGTGAACATGACATCACCTTTGGAATTAAAAAAAAAAACCCAACAAACAAACTCGTTACAAAGTCATGGCTTTCTAAATGCAACTAACATGCAGCTACAATCACCAAGGGACTTACAGGTGAGCCCACAGGGAATCTGCGTTTGCTATAAAGCATGGTAAGTGTCAAAAAACTGCTTACAAAACCACAATTACACACACAATACAATCCCAAAGCTTTCAGCAAACCTGCTAAACTAAGGAAATCATCACTCAAGGCTTCATTATCATTTCCCAAACTACTTCTGCATAACAAAGACGTATCATATTGGACTAGTCAAGCTTTCTATTCAGTGTTTTTTTTTTTTATCTCACAATGAGACAAAAACCAGATGGTTTGGGGAAAAAAAAGTCATTTTAGTCTCCATCATGTCTTTTAACCCTGGAAAAGAAAAGTGAGTTGAGACTGTACAGTAATACAAGTAGCATGGGGTCGTTATTGTCCTGTGCCACATGGAGTTCCCATGGCAAACCCCAAGACCTCTCTGCAAACACAGGAGACCTCACAGGCGAGCCCCAAGTCAGCAGCGTTACCCAGTATGAGGATTGGGGAGAAATCTAAGACTCTTATTTTCAAGCTTGAAGACCTATCTCAACACTCCTGTCTGGATTAGACCAGCTCAACTCAACAGGGCTGATGTTCAGGCCGTCACCACAGCACTACGTAAAACACAGCAATCGTCTCCTCCTTGGCTCACTCACCGTGAAGAGGTTGGATCGGCGCTTGGACTGTTTACGGACAGGAGTTGGTGTGTTGGCAGTGGGAGGAACATCAATCCGTAGCTCCTTCTGGCTGGTGCTTGGAGTTGATGGGACAGAGGAGGAATAATCACTTAAACTCCCTCCTCCATTACTGGTCTGCAAGGATTAAAGTTAGTTTTAAATAGTGATACACTGCTTTCAAGAAATTACAATCCACAGCTGTATCTTATTTAGTCCTGATACGCAAGAACAGCAGCCTAGGCTCAGGAACACAGCGGGAATGCCCTGCTACCATTTTTCCACACATTTCTATTTCAAGCCCTTAAATATTTTCCCTGCCATTATTTTTTTGAAAACTTTGGTAGTTCTGTTAATATGGCAGGCACTTTTTCATTCTACACAATATAACCTTAACTTTATATAAACAATTTCATTTGTTTTGCTAATGTATGAGTAAGCAAAACATTGGGGAACATCTACAAATTCTTTTTCTACTTCAAAATTTCTAAACCGAATTCTGCCTCAAGCCTAGGAAAAAATACCTAGTCCCACAGAACTGCATTGCTGGACTTAATCCTAGCCTGGAGACATCAGTTCACCGAGAACTACTCAAGAAAATGAAAATAATTCAATAAAATGGCTGCTACAACGACAGTTCCCAACACATTTGCTGAACCCCCTGGTACAGGGATACAAAACTTCAAATGAATACACTCCCATTTATTAAAAGTAGCTAAAAATGTAAAGTTACATCACAGTCTTGTAAGAAATAAAGCAGTCACTCAGCCTATAAAACAATTCATGAATTGAGGTAACAAGTTACTAGTATCAGGCAGGTGAGGAAAATGCACAGAATGGAAAAGACCAAAGGGTGATTAAGAACAAAGCCTTGATTTTTTTATTATTTTTATTATTATTATTACACAAAACATAAATGAGTACTAAAAAGATCACTACAGAGGATGTGGAAGTAGTCTGGAAAGACAAAAGGACAGATTTTTTTCCTATCAGATACGGTTATACCCTTTGGGGATATACTGTGTATGCTGACGGGGACTCAGGCAGGGCAAAGATGGAAAATTCTGCACACTGTTGACAAAACGATCACCACAAGAACAGCAGTGGATAAAAGGTCTGGACAACAGCTCACATGTAACTTCTGAGGGAGGAAATAAAGGTCTGTGATGCACAGGGAAAGGTGAAAGAACACCGTTAAAGCAGTCAAGTTCCCTAAAAGAAGTGAGGAAAGAGGGTAAGAGGATACTTCCAGCATGCCTGAGGAGAAGGATTCTCACGTGACGCTTAACATGTGTCTTGGTGTCCTCTTAATTGCTGTAGGCAGGAATTCAGCAGGTAGAGCTCAGAAGGAAAAGCAGACACTCCAACGTCTACTCTTCAGCATCACTCCTACGCTAGTGATGGGCCTCACATGCAACAAAGATGCCACACAGCGAGGCACTCCTCTGAGGAGGCACCAGCAGCATGACATGACTTCTCACACACTCCCTGGAGGCCAGCGTACCGACCAGGATCTCAACGTCTAAGTAGAGGCGAGTTGTCCAAATGAAACCTCTGAAGGAGAACCAAGTAGGAGACAATCCTTCTTCATATCATCCAGACAAAGTTTCTTTTAGTGATTTCAAGTCCTCTTGCAATTCTTCCAGGTGTTTGTTTTTTAAAACAAAAATTCAAGAAGAGAAGGGCAAAGGGGAAGAGGCATGAGACAAGCAGGTCATGTTTGGATTGAAGGGTTGAAGGGCAAATGAACGCAGACAGTAAACCAGGAACACCGCTTCTGAAAGTCACTGTTTCTCTGTAAATAATAACAGGTCCCTCAGCTCATTTCTGTCACACGATAGGGCTGGCAATGCTGCAAGCGGGCTCTATGATGGAGAAAGTTCTCCTCTTTCCTCTCTTTACATACATATAAAAGGACATAAAAATTAATCTTCCCTTCATTCTGAATGAATTGGTGAAGCGTGGCTGTCAGGAAGCCAGAGGTAAAGGTACTGGAAGTAACAGAGGATCTTGAGAGAGTATTTCTACAATATTTTCAAGTGCACAGAGGAAGAAGCAAGCAGAATTTGGAGACGGCCCAAGTGTATAAAACAAAGGAGATGAAAGAACAAGAGCTGAAATGATCACTTTTACTGTCCTAACAGAAAACGGTAACACTGGAGAGACAAGCAGGACAACCTGCAAAGAACTGACCTGAATGTACCCCGCACATGCTTTCCCTTTCTCTATGGCACCTTGTTGAGCCACCAAGTAACACCCCGAACACACAGGAGAGTGAATAACCTGCAGGAAGATACACATCAGATCTGTGGAAGTCAGAGACTTCTTCTCCGGAAAAAAACTCTTGCATGAAAAAAAGTAATGAAAAAAACCCAACACGTAACTAAGGACACTCTTAAAGTAATCACCAAAAGTATGCCGAAGTTCAAACAGTCAAAGACTTTGAACGTGAGTACTCAAAGCACTGGAGATGTCAGAGATGAGGAAAGTGGTATGGAAGCCTTGAAACGTGGCTGACAGAAGAAGGTATAGGAGGTGAACATCCGGAAACTCAACAATGATGTAAAATAGCATTAGGGAAGGAGACCAAAGACGCTGGTGTCAGGGAATGGCTTTCAGACCGGAGTGGTGAGGACCGACTGTCCACTCTGTCATGACTCAACTGAACTGGGGTGGGGAAAATGAGGAAGAAGGAAATCTGAGGAAGCAACCATTAATGGGAAAAGACACTGAACACATTTAAAATTAAAGTCACGCAGCTGCAAGGCTCACCCAAGTAGGAAGAAAAAAGATGACAATAAGCGATGAAGAAGATGGAAAAACCAAGAAAGATCACAACAGGGTTACGCCTCAAAATATTTAGAAGCCTCTTCTACCGAAAGGAGAAGAAAGGCAAAAAGAGCCCGATGTTGTACACTGATGACAGGATTTGAACCACAAGCTGTTGAAAATACAAGCATGCAGCTATATTCTGTTTTGTAATATTGATCAACTTGGTAACTATGCACTGACATAATTTTTTTTTTTTTAAACTAAACCCAACAGGTTTCTACTCTAAGTGCCTATGTCCCAGACAAGGCACACAAAGGATTCCCTAAAATTTTACCTTTGTAATCCTTCATCACCTTTTACCATCATTTGATACTTATTGCAGTGAGGCAGCATCTCCCAGATTTTTCAAGTGATGTATTTTCCAGGAGTGAGTAACTCCTAAAGGAAAATGCATACATGTTGGGCATTCTAGTCCCCAAAGCCAAACGTTCCTACACAGACAGTTTCTATAGAAGTAGTCCTGCAGGCAATGTTTCTCTTCACACACACGAACCCACTGGATTTCCAACTTTGTAAATAAAATTCTGAGGTGGTTTCAAACCAAGCCATGTCAAATCCACTGGCTGGAAAAAAATATTAATCTATTTCAATAAAAGACTTAAAAGTGGAAAACTTTAAGGCTTCCACAGAATAAAAGCCTGGCCACCCATACTGAACAAGCTTCCAACTCCTACTGAGGTGCCAATAATTAGCAAACATATAAAACTATATGGCTGCTCTAAAACACCTTAATGGAGAGAGTGGATTTGACAAGAGTGAGCTCAAACGTGACTTCCAAGTTACAGACTGCACAGACCAGACAGAAGCAATGAAAAATGCAACGAGACAAGCACTTGGAAACCATATTCTTGGTAACATCTGAAGCTAATGCACCGCTGAAGGAAACAAAAGGTGGTGAGCTGTCTCTGCTGGGTTGTTTGCGAAGTCTAGGGACCTTGCTGTATTAAGGTTGTAGAGAGCAGTTTCCTGCTACCAGTATGCAAGCATTTAATAACAAGTTGACTGGAGTCAAGTACAGAATTTAGGACACGTGGCAATAACGGTAATTCACAGAACGTGTGTCCCAAGCCAGAAAAATCAAGTGAGTGACTCTGAAGAACAGCTTTCCTTACAGCACACGTAACTCCACACATGTGAAATACAAACCCATTTGCTGACTGTAGACAAACTGGTCAAATTTGTGGCAGTCAAAATGAGTCAAATGAGTCAAATACCCTGGGACACTGGGACACTGGGCAGCTTAACAGTACCTTCTAAACCAAGTTTTTCCACTAAGCTGCTCTGAAGACTTGGACACACCTGAGATACCAGCATAAAGGGCCATTTCTGAGTCACTGCTCTAAGCAGTCACGGCACTAGGGACAGGCGTCAATCAAATGACTGTAGGCAGGGAAACTGTTAGCCCCAGTAGAACCATTCAGGCGGATACACCCCTGTTCGGCTTTTGTGGGTGACAGATTTTTCTGTCCTCATTTAAGCGGCGTGCCCATTCTCAACAGTGCTCAGCTTCTGGACACGCACAGTAGAACCTTGTTTTCCTTCTTGCTAGGAAGACACCCAGCCTGATGGTGGTCAGTGAACTTCAGCACACCGTTACAGAAAATCCTGGATGTCTTCCATTTCAGGGACATGTTATTTCTAGAACGCACCTTGCGTGAATGGCCAGTACTCCATTTCCAGGAATGTATATACCTCCAGTGTCTGGACAGACTTCTAGCTTTGTTGCCCCATAGATTAACACTGTGAAAAACTCCAGGTCGTGGCAGCAAGCACACATTTAGAAGAACATTGTCACTACACTGTTACCAGCTACGAACAACTCCAGTGAAGCTATCAAACTGGCATAACTTCACCAAATAGGTCCATTCAATGCAGCTACCTCAAAGGCAGACACTGTCAAGCAAAGCATTAAAGCCCATAACAAGATTCCTGCCGGCGGCTTGTTAAAAAACAAAAAACGGAAAAAACCTTTGTATACATTGTCCAAAGTTCTATGCAGAAAAAGGGTTGAATCAGGTCAAATCCAACACTTTCAAAGCTTTCACACACTTCAGATTTCCTTAGTAAACAAACCGGTGAGTAATCTACCTCGCATGACAGGAGCTCAGCAGTGACCTGCCTTAAGGAAAGGTCGGACTTAATCTCATATTTGCAAGGTGCATGTTCCTGACTGGCCAATTATACAAAGGTGGCAAAATATTCACCTTGCATCTTATATAAATTATCTGGTATTGCCAAATGATTCATAAAGCTTACAAAGTACAAATGTCAGGCCAAACCACTAAAAGGTGGAGCATAGGAAGAAT